TTCTTCGATCACACACATACACACACACGCACGGACATAACACCACTGTACACGAAGATATACACCGTTTAACCTTTACTCGAATTCTCGCACTCACGCACTTACACGTCAAGCGCCTCGTTCTGTGTAATTCCACACAATGAAACAACCCGAACACACGCTTCCCACAAATCCAACCCCTGGGTCCTCGTCCCGGGAAGTGGAAACGCCAATTTTAAAGATTGAAAGACTTTAAATTGGCGGCCGAAGGGGTTCTGGTAATCACACATCTTGCAACGATTAAATGGAATTTCATACATTAGCATCAATAATCATTTGGTGATGAATTTTTCTGTTAAATTTAGTGTGCTAAGAAATTACCTGCGCACAAATCTCGTTGGTATTTCAGTACAGTATTGCTAATTCATTGTTTATTTAACCACTCGACACCTGTAGCAGCTTTGGGATACGATAAGGCAGCTAAATGACAAAAATATTTTCATTCAGAAATTAAGCACGCATTTACAAAAACAGATTAAATTTATTAGAGACAATAGAGGAATTATACCGATTATACCGATAAATTATAACCGATAAATTTTATCAATGACGAACACGACATTAAAAACAAAATAGGAACTAACACAAGAACTGAACGAATAATTGCAGGAATTAAATACTGCAATTAAATTGAACTTAAGACAGTTGTCGATAAACAAAAAATAAAACAAACAAACAAAAAAAAAAATCCACCAGCTGCCATGTTGCGAGTATGATGAAATACACGATAAGCAAGAAGATATTTAAGTCCCTTGCCTCACACCACTAAAGGTACGGGTTGGAGGGGGACTCGCCAATGATCCTGGTCTGCGGGCCATGCTACCTTTAATATATTTGACTGATTCTACTAATTTAAGGAATTCCAGAACAGCATTTAATGGTAACGCCGTAATAAAATACAAGTACAGTATATCGAATTCTAATATGGTTTACGGGTGGAAAAAAGTCAAGCCTATACGGACAACACAAACGTAATCAAACATTTATCAACTTTTCGCGGAAACTCCGAGCACCCTCTATAGGAAGTGGTGCTTCCCAATACTGTTCTTTAATTATTAGTTCAAGTTCTTTTTTAAACTTTTTCCATCCTGTGGGTCCTAAATGGTTTTTCATTAGAGTCCATTGTGAGTTCAGTCTGGCCCGCGATAGGCGGTGAGAGACGGGGTACAACGTATCCAAACGGACCAACCCCTGAAAAATTTCTTGGGATTTTTCGACCTGCTCGTATTTGATCCGGGTTCCCCAGAACGTAGGCTGACACTTCAACCGCTCGGCCATCCGGCCCTATGCCATGCATTACTGTATAACTCACGTGCTGGATAATGTTGCAAATAGCGCTTCAACGTAACACAGATCAAGCACTGATGTAAGAAAATCGGCTGATTGCAAAAAATATCGACATTAAATGACAGTGAAATCAAATACTGTAGTAATACTAGACTGAATGCAAAGCTAGTAAACAAAATCATAAACACGTCTTTAACATTGAAAAACATGAGCACTTTTCAAATTAATTGGATAAATATTAGTGTTGTAACGAATAGTATATTCGGCCTCAGGCCGAATACCGAATATTCGGCCAAACTATTCGGCTCGATTATCGCACGTACGAAAATTGCCGCGCAAACCTCATTATGGCAAGGACCCCGCTCTCTATTGGCCTTCTGTCACTACGCTTCGCCAATCGCGTTAATTCTTGACAGTTGAAGCGGACAGACATGAGCGTCATGGCAGTATGTGATAAGTGATGATATCAAATGTGGATAACAATGAAATGTCCTGCACGTGTAAATAACGGAGAAAGAACAGAGAAGGACCGCGAAGTGAAAATGTGAAAATAAATATGAAATTGAGTCGATAACATAATCGAACGAGTCGAAGCAGCTTATTGGCGCGAAATTCGCGGCCGTCAATGCCAAACAATTGTTGTCATAGACTTCGGAAAGCTAAATGCTTGTTATGAAAGTCACTTAGCGTGCACGGGCGAAAGCCTGGGGCCGTTCGGGCTATCAAGCTGTCTCGAATCTGTGAAATCATCTGTGACTTATATCTACGTCCTATCTGTCTCTTTTCTCCGTTATCACCAGGCTGTCACATAATTGTAAAATGGGAACTCTACGACGGAAAAGTGACGAATCAAAAGTATCGTGAGGGCGTATTATGATGCATGCGTAGGCATACGTGGATTAGAGCGATAGAGGAAAGAGAAAGGGAAGAGAAAGGTGAGCGCTTAAAAAGAAGGATAGGCAGGGTTAGACCCTCAGATGTGCGAGGATTCTCCAACGATAGACGTGTACGTGTGCTGATCTTTGTAATTATAAATTGTGAATACATGTGACTAATATTATTTTCTTTTTTATTTTGTGCATGTTACAAGTTATAAATAAATATAAACAAACAACACTAACTCGATAACATTAAATCTAAATACCAAAATGATTAATTTACTGTGTTTTTGTTATTTATTACTCCTGTTTTTAGTTATTCGGTATTCGGCCGAATAGTGAAAAATAGGCCGAATACCGAATAGTAACCGAATATTCGTTACATCACTAATAAATATATTAGTTTTATTATAGTTAAAAATCTAATATTTTACTTTATTAATATTAATATGAATAAATTATTTTCAAAGCTCATTGTAACATTATACATTATTAAAAATTTTATTATCTAAATTTAGTTTCTTAGTACATTTCTTTAACATTGTTTTTAATATTGCTACAATAAATTATCTTCCATATAAATTAACAAAAATTGTTTTATTACTAATTTTGCATTAAAAAATAATTTTTATATTTTAAAAACAAATTATTCTACACAGATTCATTCAAAATTGTAAATGATATAATTATAAATTACAACACACAAAATATAAAAATAAATGCTTTTGTAATCAATGCAAAATTTTGCTGAATAGTTTTTTTAAAAAATAAATATTTCATTGAATTATAAGCATTTGTACATGAATGTTCCAGTAAAAAATAATGCTATTTCCATTATTATTATTACTTATATATAATGATAAATAAAAAACAGTTTAAAAATTTGATTAATATAATGAAAAACAGACTTTTAAGGAACTATATTTAAACTAATACATGAATTTGGACCTAATTATAATTCAATAAAAATCTAATTGTTTTTCATTTATTAATTTAATTTTAACTGAATAAATAGGTATATAAACATGTAAATTGCAATCTTCTGACTATCAATAGTCTATGGACATTAATATCTAACCTGTACGATTATTAACTAGATAATTTAAATTTTTATATATGTGGAAGCAGACTGATTTGCAGATAATGTGTGGTTCCATGTTGAATTAACTTATTTCCGGACATTTTAAAATTAGTAGTTATTTTTAAAAAATTCTTAAATTATTAAAAATGTTGATGATTAGTGACACACTCCTAGCGACAAATTTTATAATCCTGAATTGACCAAAATTTACTTCAGAGAAATCCAAATGACAAATTTTTCAATACTCAAATATACAATTACATTTCAGTTATTCAAAATGTTTGAAATTTTAGAATTTTAATGGAAAGTTTAAAATGTAAAGCTATGTTAGAACTTATTCTGGAGTGGATGTTAATTTTAGATTTTTAGTGGTTGACAAAAGTTAGTGTGTTATAAATTTAAGTTTTGTCTTGAAAGTGACTTAGCTTATACAGTACAGTACAGTCTTGTTTTATGTGGAATTTTGTGTCAAAGTACCATATAATAATCTATATAAATAAAAATGTAAATGTTTGTTCAAAATCTTAAATCTCCAAAAGTACTTAACCGATTGTTTTGATATTTTGGCACAATGTTGCATTCGAATATGTGCGTTTTTATATTTTATAGATGTCAAAATTTCCCCGCGGGAGAGAGGGACAAAATTAAGGCTTTCCGTGAGGAACTGGTCTTCTATTATTCTATTTTAGATGTGGTTTTTTGTATTTTAATAGGGAATGTCAAGAGAATGTACACTAAAAAGGGATTTTTTGAAATTTCCTTCAGTGGGAAGTGTTAAACATTTATAATACACATTTTGAGCCACAGCAACGCATGGCAGTGTCTGCTAGTGCATGATACAACATACTATTACTCTATCTACTTATTTTACTACTAGCAATTTGTCTAGTAGAAAAAGCTAACATTGTAAACCTATTATTGTGATAAAAAGAATGAAGATTGAAAAGTTAAAAGTGCCACAAATTTTGTTAACAATCTGCAAATTTCTCACCTTTGCATTCCAAAATTAGTTTTTCCTAGCTATCAAGTCAGCCTCATCTATACTCTAAGGTTGGCAAGTATGATGTTGCTAATCAAATAGTGCCAAATTATCTCAGGCTATATTTTGTTAAACCATAGAGGAGCATGGGTATAATGCTGTTTTCAGTCATTCATGCATCTTATTTGCTTCCAGTAGACCTGGAAGCAAATACAATGCATGAAACTGATAAATGGTAACATACATGCATAGTAAGCAGAAATTATAGGTTTGANATTTCTCAAACAAAAAATTTTTACAAAACTATTCATAAAATATTTTTATATATTATAATTAACATATTATTATCTAAATATTATATAATTGTAAGAAATGAGTTTCTTTGGTATTTGTAAATTCTTATAAACAATTATTTTTAATTTCAATAATATCACATTCATCATTTATTATTTATATACAGAGTGACTATAATTAAAGTCCTCTATTTAATGTAGTCTAGAGCAGTATTCTGCAACCTTTTTCTACTTGTGGCACACCCATGACTCAACACAGCACACCAAAATGTTATTCCCTTAAAAATGTATAATATGATACTATTAACAGAATTATGTAATGCCACTAACCTACTATTATTGTTATTAAACAGACATCAACATCTGTGATCAAATTTATTTTACATATAATTTCTTAGAATACATAAAAATGCATGACTTGTAATAAAGAATAAACAATCATCATCTTATTTCATCAGTGCTGTGGCAGAGAATGAAATACAAGCATAAGAAACACAACAACGTTGATAAAAATATAAATAAAACTTGAAAATTAACAGAATATGTAAAAGTTCATGGTGAATGGAAGTTCAACATGTGAATGGTTCATGGTGAATGGAAGTTCACCATGTGATGGCACACTGGTTGTGGAACACTGGTCTAGACAAATATTTATCGGTTCAAATGCAACCAAATTTCATATGGTGACATTTCAGAACATGCAAAAGACATGTCCATTAAAAAAACATACCAAAACTTACCAGTATGACACTTTTGGCACTGAAAGCTCAAAAATGTAGTTTTATCTATAGGGACTCTTAAAAAATGTGATTTGTTGAAGATATGTTGCAAATTTGGCAGCCTTGGAAGAGAGTTCACACTGCATGTGAGAGGCATCACAGAAGATCAATTATGATCAGCCAGTGATCACTGGTTACACCTTCAGAATGGAGGCCACATTGAGCAGTATCCTCTGCATTGTTAAGGTCTTGAGCATCTTGTACAGATAAAATTTTTGTTGCTTGTGAAGTGAAATGTGCCATAGTGGTGAGTTTGGTACTAATTTGTTTTTTCATTTGTTCTATTAAATATCTCTATACATACCAGTGAGTAGACTAATTTAATTACAATCACCCAGTATAATAATATACAATATGTATATATCTTTCTGTAAAAAGCTTATTTTCTATCAATTATTAAAAAAGAAAACATGTATATAAGTTGTTTTGTATGCTATTTGGTTGCAGTTCCAATCAATAAGGGATTTAAAAATATTTCAAGTATTTTACCCCAAGGCTGATATATCTTGAACTGAGTAACATGAGTAAATTGATTTTGTTCAATTAATGATGAAAGGTCTTGTGTTAAACTGCAGCCATCAAATACAATTTTCCATAGTGGATCTATAATATGCTGTATATGATACTTCCAACTTCCAGTTTGATGATGTGTATGTTCTGTATAAAAGAATTTTCCACCCTTAAAAAAAAATTACTTTGATTACTTCTTTTGGAAAATATTTATTTATGAAATCAATAGTTTTAATATTAGAAAAAAAACATTTTTAAAATAATTACAAAAAATATCTTCTATCCAACTACTTTTGCATACAAATGTAAATAATTATAAATGTAATTTAGCAAATCCTATTCTTTACTCAACATATGGAAAACATACATCATTTCAATGGTGCAGTTAAGTAACAGTAATGGCATCTCAGAAATGATCAAAGTATATCAAGTCTAACATTTTCATGGCACTTAATTCAAAAGATATCATTCATTAATAAGTGTGAATGAGCTGTTTCAGTATATAGAAGAAAGAAAGCAATGCCTAAAAAAAGTGAAACAAATTCTGCCAAACATTGTTTCTTTTCTTGTGGGCTATTAGAGCAATATTCTACAAAATCAGCATTTGGGCATTTTACTCAAAATGATCAAAAGTGAAAGGAAATCTATATGAAATGATTATTCAGTTTACCTTTTAAGTGTGATCTTGGATGAAGACACAAGTCAAAAATGCCTACTACATATTAGTATGTACTTCAAAACTTTTTTGTCAATTTTTAATTTGTGTTTACGCTCCAACACTTTTTATTTATTTCAAGAAAATAATGCAAGCTTATCTTTCCTAAAATTGCTTTACATTTGCCTTGCAACACACTGCAATATTTCCTACTTAGGAAATTTCAGTTTCAATTTGAGTTGTAGCATCAGGAATTATTAATTTATTATAATAAATAGACAAAAGTACTGTCTATGATCTACATGCACTCATGTAGTTCTAAGGAAAAGTGGACCTTTTTAGTTATAAACTTAATTGTATTTATTTAGAGAGAATTTTTTTATTTTCAGAATTAAAACTGTATTTGAAAAAATTTTATAATAAATAGTATGTATATTCAAAATGTTCATGTTATAACAGTTTTCAATCTATTTAGTAGCACTTCTACTATTCTGTTCTCTTTCCTTTCAATTAACAATCAAATTTAATAATTTATGACAAAATTTTTTATTTTACCAATAATAAAATTAAAAAAGTATAAAGTATGAAAAAAATATGTTAAGTGTTTTTTCATATACAGTACAAACAAATTACCTTATAATAGTTCCTTTAAAATTCATCGAAAGCTGAAAATGCCCTATAATTGTAGTAATATTTAATATTTTAATATATTCATATTTAATGTAATTAGAATAATAATTGATATATGCAGGAAAGACTACAAAACTGGAAAACTTCTTGAAGTTTCAGAACCTTTACTAGAACTTTTTTAATCATTTAATATATTAAAATTTATTCCACTATATTTTCTCAAGAAAACATAATAATAATTAGAAAATTCTTGGGAATTCTGCATAATCTTCAGGCTATAAGAATGATACAGGTAATTCAATGATCCAAAACTATGGTTTATTTATTTTTTGTTGATTACATACATAACTAGATGCATTTCATTTTACAACCCCCCCATCAGTAACTAAAATTATTAAGAGTTAAGTATAAGTACAAAAATTAATTAAACATAAAATTGGTAATAAAACTGAAAATAGTAATATCTTACTTTGCATTGAACCAACCATCTTCTTAAAAACAAATATATGTAAAAATGATATGGAACATATTTCAATGATACATACAGCAAATGATATGGATACAGTACATTAGATTACGAATGTTTTCTGCTATTGTAAGGCCGTTAGTCTTCATACACTTGCAGCTGCAGAATTATGAAATTCCCAAGAATTTTCTAATTGGAATATAGTTGGTATCCCAACAAGAAAGGAAATATAAGTTACTAATAATTAAAATTTAAGTAATTGAATTATTATTTTAATATATTTAATTTAATTTGTCAGCAACAGTTGAAACTTCTCGAATTATGATTTTGATGTTAATTCTTTGATAAATATCAACATTATCAAAATTAAAATAACTGCTAAAATTGTCATGATTGTTCAGTGTCATGCCATTATTGTATGATGCTTTTATACTTTATTTACTATTATCCTTATTTTAATGGTTTTTAAACAGGAAATGACTACAGGTATACCTCACCTTACGTCGGTAATTGGTTCCAGGAGAACAACGTAAGTCAAATTTACTTGTCTCCGAATCTACTTATTACTAGGCTAAATTGTAAATTACCATTCCCGGTTCTGTATTTTATTTATTAATGCATTTTTAATAATATATGGTTAATAAAAATCTATTTTAAGCTTACAAACAAATAAATTTTAGTTTTTAATATAGTACAAAAAAAAGTAATCTAAATTTACGAATGCATGTACTGTAAATACAGTACATACTTGTATAAACTTTAATATGATCTTATGTGCTTTAAACGTTTTTCTAGTTATATTACAACTTCAATATTTGTGGTGGACAGACGTAAAGTCGAATAAAATGACTCAAACTTGATTTTTATTTTTCCATATACTTTTTTAACAAGCGACGTATAACCGGGAACGACGTAACTCGAAACGACGTAAGTCGAGGTATGCCTGTACATATAAATCAAATCAATTTCCAATCTGAAGCTATATAATTATTTCTACTAAAATTACAATGTAATAATAGAGAGTACAATTAATCCTCTTCCTTCTTGTTGCAAAATGCAATAGGAAAAATAGTTTTATTGCAATCATGTCAATTTGCTTTTTACAAGTTATTTCTCTAAATTATAGAATAATAAAACAAAATACAGATTTAATCTTATAGTTTATTAATTATAAGCAAATGCACATATAAATGCTATGATCAATTCAAAATTAAAATAGCAATAACTTTTTAATGAATGAACATTTTTAACAATCTTGAATAGCCAGCCATCTTCAGATTCTAGAACTATAGAATAGTAAATCTGACATATATTATAGCCTGATACCATACCCATTTTAATACTAATGACTGCCATGTTGATCATACAGTACTTCCATCTACCATTGTCACTTATTAAGAAACAGACACAATATAGAACAGAAAAAAGTTTTCTACTGTGCTGTCAGCATTTGTGACTGTTCAAAATAACATTATTTTATGGAATAATGACTGATTTAATAGACTTATTAGTTATTACTCAAGAATTCTAGTTCAACTAGAGTCAGGATAACACTAGAAATCTATAAACATATGAGGAAATGTATCAAATACATCACCACAATACTCTGATCCAGTCTGGCACCAGATAATTTATTAAAAAAACTATTGTTTTTTTGATCTCCTAAGATCTACATCAGGTATTATACTGAATCAAAAATGGAACTCTCCAAAGAAAAAGACGAATTACATCTTGTTCTTTGGATGGTTCCATTTTTGAAGGGTATAGCTGATTTTTAGATTAATGCCAAACAATTGCCAGATTATATTGGGCTATATTAATGCTACTTTTAAATTTTTATCTCTAGGCCAAATTATTTGACATTTAATTATTAACAGTAGCATTAATATAACCTGATGTAATCTGGCAATCATTTGTCTTTAGTATAATACCTGATGAAGATCTTAGGAAATTGAAAATGTTACTTTTTTAGTGAATTAACCTGATGCTGAACTGGATCAAGGTATTGTCGTGATGTATTTGTATTCCTTGTATAGTATTAGAGAGGTAATTGCTTGTAGGGAATGTCAAGATGCAGACAACTGCCCAATGTCTAGAAATTTGTTATTAAATGGATTTGGATGTTTAATTTAAGATATTTAGTTTTAATATTTAAGTTTTTAATTAATTAATTTTTTTATCTTTCATTTTTATTTTTAATTTTATTTTAGCATTCATATATTTAGTTTTGTTCTATCAGATACATATGTATCTTTGTATTTTAAATTGTTTTTGTTCAAGAACCTGAAGCCTATGGCTTTTTAAGATGATTAAAACCATTTAAATTCAGTAATAGTTTTTAAATGAGCAAAGGTTTTTGTTTTGAATTGAATGAAATTTAAATAAGAAACTAATTCCAGTAAATAAATGTTGTTATCTAATGGATTAATATTTTACACAGGTTAATTATATTTAAAAATGAAGTACAAATCTGGATTTTAATGATAATGTATTTTAAGAAAATGGTTCAAATAAAAATGTTATAAATTTGAATTCAGTCATGTGTCCATCATGTGAATTTATAACAAAATGTGAATGAATAAATTGTGTAATTGGGCTGCAATTTGAAAAAATTGTAGACCTATAAATTCCACTGTCATTTATCTGTCCTTAATCTTGAGAACAGTTAGATAAACAAAATTCAAGACCAGATATGGAATGCTTAGGGGCAGGAGGCTCCAATTAAGTGTATATGAACTTCCAATGCAAACAGGAAGTCATGTTATTTAAATTCAAAAATTTTCCCCTGAAAGCAGTTAATAGATGACTGGCACGACTCTATTGTTAAAGGAAAAGTATGATGTACAGTACAGGGACAAACCACTACTAATTTGAGGTGGAGAGCATATATTTAAATTAAATTAATTAAAAATATTATTAAAAATTGCAGGGTGGCATTGTGACAATGGCAAAATAAATAAATGATCGTTTATAATTATAAAATCACATTTTCCAAGTCAAATATAATTATAGATCAACAGATTTAAAACAAGATTGATTTATGTAGATGAATATAAGCATTAAGAGCAACCAAAATACAGACAGAAATCTATGAATTAGCTGAGTAAAATTTTACAGATTATGTAGTACATAATTATTATATGATATGTAAAACTGACTTGGACTTAGGAAATAAAGGATCTAAAAATAAAATCAGTGTTATGTAATTTACAGATGATACAGTACAATATCAACACAAATACATATGTTTAGATTATATACATAATATTTGTAGAGTTATGATCATTTGCAATAAATTATTTAGCATTCTAAAATTTCAAAATCAACTGACAAAATGTTCTCAAATAATTAAAAATAAGTAAAAACCTTTCATATCTGCTGTCATACTTTAATTGGAAAAGAAGTGTGTCTTTTTGCCAGTTTTCATAACTAAAGAATTTATTTAAAAAAAATTTCTTTTGTAAGAATTAAAATTCAATGTAAAAAATACCCTAGCACTATAAACAGACATTCATTCTACATATATAATTTATGTATTGATTACATTTGAAGGCTTCATTACATCAATCATAAACAACAATTCCAGTACTTTAGAAAAATTTTATGATAATTATATAGAATCAGTACCCAGGACATTTTTTCTTAATTTGTTTTTTAAAGTCACAAAAACTGTACAGAACACTCATATATCTAACATAATATAGTAATGGGCACAATGTTTAATTTATCAAAATTTTGAGAGATTTTATTAAACAAAGAAATTTTTAGGTAGAGATCACAAATATAAATTATACTGTATGTATATATAATCTCAATATAAAGTTTTGAGTTGATATTATTTTACACGCCAAGTAATGTTCATTAGTACATTTAAGAATATAATAGCAAGGTTGAAGCCAAAGTTTTCATCTCTAAAATGTGAACGTCACTTACAAGATAGTGGCGCTCAACATTCACATTTTAGCAGGGGCAAATTCTCTGGGCTTGCTTAGCATGCGCCGCATGCTTAAGAGAAAGTTTTGACTGTCAATATACTTTTTATATGAGAACAAATATGCCAATAATAATTTATTCTAAAATGTAAACTCTTTTTTATCATTTGTGTTAGCTTTTTAAATTGGCAGCTAGCAGCTAGCCGTTTTAAGTCGGTGCGATGCTTGAGGAAACTCGATCGCTTGCTCATATGGAGGTTTGCCGTGGCAAACAAGTGCACGTGCATGACATCATTTAAAGCATTTAACACGGCCAGATTGTATTGAAAACTTGCAGTGCCCAGCCAGCATACACGTATTGTGTATAGGGGCAGATCTACATACAGATTAATAGGGCTTAAGCCCTGGTCAAGGGCCCACAAAATTTGTATTATCATCATAAATTTGTAATACTTTTTCATTATAATATATTTCATATACAGTATTTCATGTGTAGATATAATTCACTTTTTAATAGTCCATATTTTTTAATTCACACCAAATAACACCTTTTGCTTAGTGCTAGAGATAGGCATATTATTCTTATTATAACTTTCAGCATGCCCAAAAATTTTGGTCAGGATTCACCTCTGCGTTTTAGAGATGAAAACTTCGGCCGCAACCTCGCTATTGAATTTAAATAACTTTATATACTTACAGGTGTCAAGACTCTCCTGATTTCTTTTAAAACATTACGATTATTTTGTACTCTGCATAAAGTATCAGTTGAAATAACAACGTCAATGGAAGAATCTGGAATCAGAAATAATTTCTCATCAAAACCGCCAAAATAAAAATCGAGTTTTAATTCGGGAAACAATTTCATATTCTTGAGTATATAATTCTTAAGATAAGGGTTATTTTCAATCACTATCAAATGAGAATTCTTTGGATAATACCTGAAATTGGAACCTACGCTGGAACCAATTTCTAATATTCTAATCAATCCTCTATTTTTTAATTTTAAATCACCGGATTTAATTTGATACAAATCGGCAAACAGAACGTCTTTAACATTTGTCCTGCACCAAATGTCACTGTAAAGTTTCCAATTTAAAAACGATGCGGTCCATCTTTGTCTCAACGTAAAAATATTACTAATTAAAAAAGTAAGTAGTAAATACATTGCTGAAATTGGACACATGTAATACCACAAAAAAGAAGCAATGTGAGCATCTACTTCCGCCATCTTGTCTAATAAAATTTCCCATCTGATCTGAGCTGTCAGATAATCGAAGCAAAAAATCGCCAAAACGTGGTGCTAAAATCGCCCGATTGTAAATTTACATAGAAGTTTTAATTCCTAGACATTCGACTTAATTTTACAAAGAGCTTTTATTAGTTTATTTACGACATAACTAGATATGTAGTAAATCAAATAGAAATCATCTCTCTCTCTCTCTCTCTCTTTTTTTTTATTAATGTATGGGTTATAATCTTTTATCGCCCAACTACTTTTTTTTTTAAAACTCTTTCCGCCCTGTGGGTACTAAGAGGGCCTCCATTAGAAAGCCTATTATATGTTCGACTAGGCCCACGATGGGAGTGGCCAGATGGTGAGGGACGGGGCCCAACATATCCAGACAAACCACCCCGAAAAATTCCTAGAGATTTATCGACCCAGTCTGGATTCGAGTCCGGGTCTCCCAGAGTGGTAGGCTGCCATCTTGACCTCTCGGCCATCCGGCCTTTTCGCAATATATTTACTAGAAGCATCTACTTCTCCAAGTCAAATAGTTCATCAATTTTATTTATTCTATACATTTGTTTTTTCGATCAAAGATAAGTTGGGCACATATGTAAGAGAACTTGAGACATTTTCTTCCACGTTACCACTTCTGGGGTGGCCTAGAGAAATTACAGAATTTAAAACAATTAATTATAGTTAGGTACTGAGTTGGTGTGGGATGATCGTTACAATCTGCCGAAGAATACCAGAGATTTTCAGTTCAGTCCTGACTTAAGCGAAATGTTAGGTTATACTTGTTCTTAAACTTTCAATGATCTCTATTTCAGAGACGATCATATCTTCATTACTTAACTTAATCATCTAGTGTTGGAAATTGTACAATTAAACTTTTTTAACACGACAGGTATTCATTTTCAAACTTCGAATTTCACAAACTTCAACTTCGATTTACACAATATAATGACGGCCACAGGAAGGCATTTATTATTATTTAAATTATTATATCTATCTATATAACCCATTGAACACGTGTCTGTCCGTCCGCGTAACGGTATGCCAAAAACGGGCACTAGAGGCGCCCTAGCTATGATTTTAAATTAACAATAAATTATTTTTATTTGTAATAGGAATTTATTATTGATATGAATTTATTATTTATACCACGGAATGGTATAAATAATTATTATATGCCTTGATTAACTTAGCGCCACACGTTTACAACATTCCGTGGCTCACAAGTTAGTGAACGTCGCGCATTGACTCAGGGAAATTTGCTGAAAAAATGGCGGATACATTTAAAATCGAGGTTTACAACCGAAGGTAAATAAACAAACTAAACTATTTTAAAGTTTTATAGAATGTTTAATAAATAGAAATATAGATCCGTATGACGCGATTGTGACTTTAATAGATCTGTAGAACATATTGATAGGAACAAAAAAATTCAAAGGAACCGTGCTTCATGGGAATTTGTAAAGAATACCCACTAGGGGGAGTTCCGGGCTACTAGTATTAGATAAATGATCCACAGAGATACAGTATATACCCATTTTTTTCTGTCTATAGGGTTAATTACTTTTTGCTTTCCAGTTACCCGAAGTACAGTATTTATTTTTGTGTAATTACAATCAAGCCTAAAGTTAAGATCTTTGGATGTTCGGGTAAGTGCAATTCTCGTAGATGGAATTTTGTTTAAATTCAATTTTTTATTTTCATGATGTTTAATCTTTAATTTTCTTTTACAGTCCTTTCCTTACGAAGGCCAAAAAACGAAATTGGAGGCATTCAAGAAGTTCTTGGAGAAATTGGAGTTTACAATTAAGCTGGCGTGGTCCAATCTTCCAGTTCGTCAGCTGTGATGAAAGAGATGTAATTTATCGACCTGTGACTTTTTTACCGGACTTGACTTTGTAACTCGGATATGGCGACTTTACCCGGATTTGACAGTTTACCTCGGATGACCTCAAAACCCGGACGTAACTTCAAACCTCGGATGTTTCAGAAGGATGATTCTCGAATGAACTTTCGAATAATCGCAGGGAATCATTTCCTTTAGACTTTTGTGATTTAATCAGTGGTCCTGGTTTCGAACTTTTCATAAAACCGACTGAAATTTATATGAATCGTAATGATTAATTTCTGCCTTAATCGTGTCTTGTGCATTTATTTTAATATTTACATTCAATTAAAATTGAATTGTTTTAATTATTTGTAATCTGTTTCTTGAGTTAAGAAAAATTCTGCAATAAAGTTTACAAAAAAAAAATGTGTTATGTGTTAATTTGAATAATTTATACGTTACAACAATTGCGAATAACATTAAATTTAATTAGAAAATCATTTTAATAAAATTTTATTTTCAGAAGTTGTTGACAAATAAATAATAACGCAAAGAAAATAATATAATTATTTGCACGTTTTACTAACTTTTATAGTCGTTTCCATAATACAGCAAGACTCCACTTAACGCTGATTCGATATTAACGCGGCCTGCTCGGAGCCTAAAAAAGCTCAAAATTTACCCTTATTCAAATTATCGCGGCATTTCATTGATTCGTATATAATACGATTATTTCCAAACACGAACCAATCAGCAAAAGTGGCAATTGTCGCAGCTCTGAACTTTCCCTAAATCTATGTTTGTTTGGTGCAATTTTGGAAAAAAAAAGTATAACGTCATGGATACCATAGGCAATATCGACTTGGCTTGGCAAGAATTAACCGATAAATGCACGAACGAAGTTATGGCTGAAGGTATCCAAGAATTCTGAACGAGAACTATCGCTGTATCGTTAGGTTGAACTTGTAGAACAAGGAATTCGTGTAGAACTTTTTATTTTTCTTTTAACTCTTTCCGCCATGTAGGCATTAAGAGGGCCTCTTATAGCAAACCCATTATGGGTTCGGCCAGGCCCACAATAGAGAGCCAGGTGGTGAGGGACGGGGCCCGACATATCCGGACGGACCACCCCCGAAAAATTCCTGAGGATTTTTCGACCAGTCCGGATTCGATCCCGGGTCCCCCAGGGCGGCGGGCTGCCAATCTTGACCGCTCGGTCATCTGTCCCCATTCATGTAGAACTGGAAAATAGATTCTAAAAACGAAGAACACAAAAAATTTTTATACAGATTTCCTTAGTAAAAGTTTGGTAACGATAACCGAAATGCGTAGCGAATGATCCAGAGTTTGAAAGGAGTGCAAAAGCAAAACAAGGGGTTTTGGATGCGATCTTCTGCTACCGACATTTGCTTAAGAAGAAAAGCGACAAATAACATTAGATGACTTCGCAAAAAAATCAGGACCTTCATCACAAAAAATGAGCTTTACTGTGCGCTTTTTCTGTGTGCATATGTTTTTGTGTTATTTAACATATATTATTATGCAAATTAATATAAAAACAAATTAAAATAAAATTTGTTTATCTTTGGTCGCGTGTTCCCCTTTCCCTATTTAGTCTATGTTAAAATGATCTCGTTTAAGACTGTTTCGTTTAGCGCTTTGTCCTCTAGGAACGCATTCCCCACGTATTTTCATAATATTGTTACTTGTAATGTTCTTTACAGTACTTATATGGTTTTATTTTTATGTTGATTGCCAGGAATCTCTTTGAAGGAGAATTTTAAAAAATTTCTGAAAATAAATTATAATTCATTTTTGTGAAATTTATTATGGATATAGGAAATAAAGAAAAAAATCCTAAGAGAGATCCGAAATTTTTCAGGATTAGCCAAAGATTTCATTCATTTATTATGGGGTAGGAAGGATTGCACTTTCCGGATATCTTGAAACATCCAAAAACATTTTCATCTGTAATGGAACTTTGCATGCACTCCAGCAAGCCTGTGATTTTGTACGGACAGCGACGATACTAACATCACCAGAGAAGAATAGACTTTTTTTTTTTTTTTTTTTTAGCTCTTTCCGCCCTGTGGGCACTAAGAGGGCCTCTTTTTGCAAGCCCATTATGGGTTCGGCCAGGCCCACAATGGGGCTGCCGGGTGGTGAGGGACGGGGCCCGACATATCCGAACGGACCACCCCCCGAAAAATTCCTGGGGATTTTTCGACCCGTTCGGATTCGAACCCGGGTCCCCCAGAGCGGTAGGCTGCCACCTTGACCGCTCGGCCATCCGGCCAAGAGAAGAATATACTATGATTTATTATGAAAAACATTTTGAAGCAGTTATAAAGCTGTCAATTGATGTAAAATTATATAATTTCCATACGTTTTGAACATTTGTACTTAAAAAGCTAAATGGAATAATTTGAGTGATGAATCTAAGGAGGTTCTTTTATATTCAAAGATAGGCAATCCACTGAATAGACCATTAACTTTAGGTTTGATTTTAATTAGATAAAAATAAATACTCGGGTTAACTCGGAAGTAAGTTAAAAAGTTATTATCCGTATAGACATAGCAGAAGTGGGTATATACTGTATCTACGTGGATCACTTATCCCATGAAAAGGTGATTGAACCAGGTTGAAAAGTAAAGCTCGGTGAAACATCTAAATAAAGGAAACTTTTGAAAGTTGTGGCATAAGACTAATACTGGAACGAGATTTAACAGTAAGATTAAAATGTGAATAAAGTGCACAGACTACAACTACAGGAAGTTTTAGATAAAGCATTGTCACCACGATAATAAGTCAGTAAAACAAGCATCCTCGAAGTCGTACTTATAAATTAATGGCAGAAATAAGGCATGTCCAAAGTGAAGAAAGACAATCAAATTTTGACTTAAAATTTTAGAATCCCTTCACGTGCATTCTTGTTTCGGCACGTAAACATTTGAAAAGGTGTTGTTGTGCAATACATACAAGAAGCAATTGCAAGCTTTATCTCTAAGAAAACGTACAGAGCTGAAAAAGAGAGTCTAGCAAAAGATATAATTTCATATTACAAATCTCATGGACAAAAATCAATGGTTAATCACTTTTTGGAAAAATGAGTCAGAAGAACAAGCATTTCACATCATTGAACGTTATAACTAGAATGGAATCGAAGGTTACAAGTTTCAAACTGAGTACTCGGGGACACTAAAGAAAAAACAATGAAAACAAAGTAAAAGCATTGCTTCATAAGTACCCGTCAATGTCTACAAGAGCTATGATTCGATCTACCATTATTAAGATTAAGCGAATAGTTTGTCCATACAAGCTAGAATCGAAACATTTAAAAAAAATATTTTTATACATATTTTCAACGCCGAACTCTTGAGGTTTTTTCAACCTTTCTCATTTGACAATTAAAACAGAAAAATGCTATTACTGTATTAATAAAACAGTACAGTATATTATATCTAACTTATATTTATTTTTTACCCGTTTAGTTCCTCCTTACTTCTACTCTATTGTGTAAATTTATATTTATATTGTAAAAATGAATAAACTACATTATAAATAAATAATGATTTTTTTAATCCACAATTTAAAAATCTTGCGTATAGGCCTGCATATTTTTATTTCTATCGCCTTATACTGTACCTGTTACAATGAAAGTGAATGGTCAGTTAATGTACACCTTCACTAAAGCAATTAATGAATCTGTACTGCAGCGTACATAAGATTTCAATTTTCTGTTTGCCCCGAAAAATTAATCGCTGAATGTGAAGTTCCACTGACAAAACTTTTACTTTAAGAATGATTGCATCTGCCTAATTTTGCAGTACAGAACAAGAGTTTTTCAAATGTTCTTGCGATTTGAAATACCAGACTATGAAGTGTAAATACAAGAAGAATAGTACTTTATGCACTTCTAAATGTCACAACTCTTCGACTTGCTTCAATAAATAAAAACATTAATTAAAAGATTTCAAATTCACATTTCACAACCTCAGCTTGTAAAGGTTAACAAACACACTAGAGAGTATTAATTACTAGGGAAAGTGGATTTATTATTTTAAAATGAAAGATTTGTTCTACATTCACTGTAATCTATTGAACGATAAACAGCTTTCAAAGCTTGTTTCGATTGAATTGTATTACTTTTAATAAAAAAAAAATTAGTTAAGCTTTTACATTATAGAAGATTAATTTAATTTCTACGCTGATCATGCATTCAGCAAATAACATTAAGAATCGGAAAGTGCAAAGATCGTAAATATCAACATTTAATCAAATTCGGCTCCAATAGTAATACTCATTTCATCGCCGACGATTAAAGTTTGATGATACCATAAATTTGTATCCAGTACAACTGAAAAATATAATAAATATATTATTTTATTAAAGAAATAGATTTTACTTAATCACTTATCTTAATTAAACATAAAATGCTAAATATTTATTTGAAATTTCACAAAATTAATATATTGTTTATTTAATTTCTAAAAGTATTCAGCTGCGTTTAGTAAACAATTGAAACTTAACTAATTTCTCCTGATTCCACGATGATCTCCAAGGTTTTACATTGTAGATAACATTCAGGTACAGGTTCTAAGATCCATCTTTTTTTCCCTTTGATTTGAGCTTGCCACGAAGGATAATTTACTTTATCAATCTTTAAAACAAACGCAAAAATGATAAATATTTTAAAACAGTAAATTAATATCACTTTAGTTATGAAAGTATTATTTAATTAATAAAAAAAAGTGTTTATTTTATTGATTATCTATAAATAATTNATAATAATAATAATAATAATAATCTTTATTTATCTTTCCCTCAAGACTTTAGTACCAAAATCATTTATTTATAATTTAATTTTATACATCATACTCATAAATTCCAAATCCACAAAAAATTTTCAACTTATCCTTAGATAATTTTCCATTATCCTTATTTCCAGTGACATAATACATTTAATAAAATTCATCTATTTTTTTAACATTTTAATTTTTGTATGCTAAATTTTTATATATTAAATTTATAGTTAATAATAAATGTTAATTTTTTATAAAAATTTAAAAATTTCAATTTAAAAAGTTTTAAAGATACTGTATTTTCTTTAAATGTATAAACGTTCTGTTTAAGTATATTTTATGTGCTATTGATGTTTATATTAGTTAAAGATGATTATATTTTGATCAAAAACATTAGTGTTAATAAACTTTTTCTCAATGTTTAGATAAACTTAGAATTTTGTTAATTATCCAGATATTGGCAAGGGAAGTAATTGAGAATGGCGTAACAAAATAATAATTTTTTCTTTACCAATCGAAAAACGGTTTATTATTTAGTACAGGGGTGGCCAACAGTTTTTGTCCCCGGGCCGAATTAGAAAGAAAACTTTTTCCACGGGCCGAACCAGAGGCTGCTCTAGGAAGATTTTGAGGTAGTGCGAGATCTCATTGTGGTGTCACCCCGTAGAGACTAAATTGTAGATAGAGATTACAGATACATTTTTCACATTATCATGTATAATCAACATTCTACGCTGTACTTAAGAGTTTGTAATGGAGGCTAAACGCACAGTGAGTTGTTGACCTTTTTGTTTTTTCTTTAGGCGTCAGAATTTTTCATCGAGCTATTCGGACTTGAGTAGCTAATGTTGAAAGATTAATCGTGGGCCACATAAATTCATTAGACGGGCCGTATGTTGGCCATGCCTGATTTAGTACATGAGCTAAATAAAAAAAAAAACTTTCATTTTAATAAAAATAAGTATTAAAAATTTTGCAGGTATTAGGCATATATAGCGTGCATTATATATGCCTAATACCTGTAAAATTTCAAAGTTTTTGAGTAATTAATCGTTATTACCGAACATTCTGCTTGCAGTAATAATATTTAAGCCTTAAAAAACCAGGTTATATAATATAAACAGAAAAATAAAAACAATAAAAGTACCGAACTTCGCGTAACCACAATTCCGTTAATTTTAACGGAATTTAACATCTCTCGCCTTCACTTTTCTGAAAATGAAACTTCTTGTGCTTTCGTACTAAATAACAAACTATCTCTCGATTGATACAGAAAAAATGATTACTTTATACATTCTCCATTACTTCCTTTGTGACTTTACACAATTTGTCATGTAAAACAAACAGTTTTGCTATACTCGGATATCAAACCTTATATTTTTGTATATAAAGGAAATCATTTACAAATAAAAACAATTAGAAAATAAACTTTTTCTCATAATTTTATTTATTTTTATTTTCTTTTGTAACTTCGCATGAAAATTTCTTTTTAAAAAAAAGATTGTTAAAAATATTACAGTACTCGTATAAAACAAGGCAAGATTCTATATGTAAACTATGTAAAAAAGTAACTTACGTGCATGTTAGCTCCATAGCCAGGACTTCCCATGAATATCCAATCCATTTTAGTGGCTTCGGAAAGAGGAGGAAGAAAATAAGGACGTTGATAATAAGTTCTTAATAAGTTCGCTACATTTGGATCACAATTACCCCTAAATGAATATATATTCGTAAAATCATTATCCATTTTAGTAGTCGAAGAATAGAAAATTAATTTAAAAAACAAGTCGTCTATAAAATTAAAATACTTTCCGATAATTTTCACTTGAAATTGAATTAATTGTTACATAGACTTAACCTAATCGACGTTTTTATCTATTCANATATTGTATTTTATGGATATATCTAAAGATATTTTTATAAAACGGTTTGTTAATTAAATAAAGCAAAATAATAATAATAATAATAATATGACAAATCTGTTGTAATAACTATAAATTCAAATCTGGCTTAAATTCAAATCTTAATAAGTTCGCTACATTTGGATCACAATTACCCCTAAATGAAGATATATTCGTAAAATCATTATCCATTTTAGTAGTCGAAGAATAGAAAATTAATTTAAAAAACAAGTCGTCTATAAAATTAAAATACTTTCCGATAATTTTCACTTGAAATTGAATTAATTGTTACATAGACTTAACCTAATCGACGTTTTTATCTATTCAGTCAATTTTAATATCATTTAGTCTATTATTTAATTTATTGAGAAGAGACAAATTCTTCTTTCGTTAACGATAATGTAATTTAATTCTAGAAGAGAGAAACATATAATTATTTTTATTTATCTGTACTTAAGCATATATTTGCTTGATTTTAAATAATTGTAAAACAATAATTGATATATTTTATAAAGTTTCGTGTTTATTGTATATAGTGCAATAAAACCTGTCTAAAACGGAACCAGACGGTACAGGCAAGAATTTCCCGTTTAAGCAGATTTCCGTTTTATTAAGTGTCCTTTTTAGAGAAATTTTACTGTATTAAATAAAGTAGAACTCTTACCATCCTATATACCAAGGTTCGGTACCTTTCTTCATCAAAGCCCTGTCCTCGGACATTTCAAATACTTCTCCTAAATGATTAAATTCAGTTTTGTAAGGAAAGAATTGGCAATTCATTCTAGTCTTGCTCGATGTAAAACTATTTTCATAGTATAAAGATTTAAAAAATTCAAAACTAAATACATGTGGAGCTGTCCAGTTTACAGTTGCATCGGATATAACAACAGGTACTCCAGTATAGGCGTACCTGACAATTATTATAATTAAAATATTTAAATTCATTAAAAATAAAATATTCTTTAATAGTATGGTATTCTACTCACATTTTTTCGAAGTATTCGGGAGAAATGCCGGATATACGTTGAATTTCAGCTACGTTCGAACAATGTGAGCATCCCAACGAAGGCAAAAACATATTATTAACCGATGGTGGCATGTCTATCGTGCATAATTCTTCTCGTTCATCGACATCATTCCAATAAAACATCACTCGAGTAAATCCTTCTCTTGTATATAAACTGTAATAAGTAATAACGGCAACAATGCAAACTAAACTTGCAAACCATATTCTACGTTTGGGATTCGCATCGTAGTTTGTTCGCTTTTTTATTAACTTTAATGATGATAAATTCTCTAATTGACTATAATGTATTCCGAGTTCTTTAGCTTTAATTGAAATCTGAAGGAAGAGTGCTTCCGGATCACGTCTTTCTGTTCCGCTTCCCATTTTTGAAGTGAGTGGAGAGGACTGTCATTGTGCATTGGTTAACGGATGAGAGCAGACAACAAAACAAACCTTGCGTACCGTACAGTACATACAGTAGATAAATGCACCCAAAACAGGATAATGAACGTTAACGTAAGATCGATAAGAAATTAATTAAAACTTTCAATAACGTTTTCGACTTACTTAAACTAAATAAGTTAAATGAATATATTAAGATGTTATTGAAAGTTTATATAATTTTATCTTGGAAAAGAATTAAATAAAATACATTCAACGTTCCTTATTTATGTCAATCTTACTTTATTCGGTTTTATTTTTAACTTTATTCTGTAACTAATAAATTGGTAAATTCTATTAATATTTCTTTATCTATTGTCTGTCATAAAAAAATTTCATTAAATTACTAAAATTATCGAGTTTATTAAATATACCGGTACATTAATTAATACGGTTTAATTCTAGATTACAAATGAAATATTTTAAAATAAATTCAATATTTATAACGTTAAAAGATTCTGGAAGATGAAAAAAAATGTATAAAATATTTTTAAAAACATGTAAAATTACAATTTTTAATGATTACATAAGATAGAAAATTCAAATCGTTAAAATTTTATTTGTTGAAAAATGTAATAAACATTGAAAAAATCGTTCATTGTCATCCCCGGCGTATGAGGACACTGCTATTAAGGAAAGCAAAGGGTTGCTATTCCCAAAATTTTACACAAATAAAAAGACCAGTATCAACTTTTTAAATTTCAACCACTGATAATATATCACTTTAATGCTTTCTCTATCTGATTTTTTACAAATGTTCTTGCTTTGCCCGAATTTTCCCCACTGTTTTGCCCACATTTGAGAGGACAGTTACCAATTGTATATGACATCACATTCCATTTCCCGAATAACCTTATGCGATTGAAAATAGCTGTGTCGTGATCATAAAGATTATCATTTAAAAATAACTACAAATATTGTATTTTATGGATATATCTAAAGATATTTTTATAAAACGGTTTGTTAATTAAATAAAGCAAAATAATAATAATAATAATAATATGACAAAACTGTTGTAATAACTATAAATTCAAATCTGGCTTAAATTCAAATATAAAAAAAATTTTACCAAGGAAAAATTTGTATGTCGAAAAACATTAAAAATGAATTAAACAATTTTTTATAAAAAATATTTATTTTTAACTTATTTATTTATATATAAATTATTGATATACACGTAAACTATTCCGTACATTTATATAGAGTTATTTATTACTATGATATATATAATTTTTGGCTTAATCTACAGGAATAAAGTTGTTAATGCCTTTAGTATTACAGATATCCATTATAAGGTTTTGAGTTAAAATGGGAAACATATACTAAATAATATTATGAAGAATAAAAATATTACCGATTTATAATAGGATTTTTATAAATAATAGCCATGCTATTACGAGGAACATCGTAGATATAATGTAAGACGTTATAACTGTGTACAAACCATTATTTATCGAACAAGAAAAATCTTATAAGTTACTGTCTCTGTTTTTATTGTTGTTTATATATCATGAATCATAAAATCGATATAATAAATATAATATCGATTAAATGTCATAGTTTAATGTAATTCTTTTAAAATTTCTTTTTATTTCTTTTTAAAATTTCGTTTTCGTGAAAAGGACATTGAAATATGTAGCATTTATTTCCTTTAATAGCTTCTAATAATGACTTCAAACTAAACAATGACAACTTATTTGTTTTAAATCTGCAAAGAAAAATCAATCCAATTAAAATTTAATAATAATAATAATAAAATTAAGTTCTNGCGTTACACTATCCAGAAACTTTTTTTGCTACAATTATTCATCTATGAGTAATTAATTATAGTAAATTTTTCAGAATATTTAAGCTTATTAGCTACAAAAATGGTTTCATATTTTTTTATTTAGAATGATACAAAAAGCACAAAATAGAAAGAAACAATAGTGGACCTACTGAGAAAGATTCTTTTTATGCATGACCTTTCGTATAGTGATTTATTTATATATAAATTATTGATATACACGTAAACTATTCCGTACATTTATATAGAGTTATTTATTACTATGATATACATAATTTTTGGCTTAATCTACAGGAATAAAGTTGTTAATGCCTTTAGTATTACAGATATCCATTATAAGGTTTTGAGTTAAAATGGGAAACATATACTAAATAATATTATGAAGAATAAAAATATTACCGATTTATAATAGGATTTTTATAAATAATAGCCATGCTATTACGAGGAACATCGTAGATATAATGTAAGACGTTATAACTGTGTACAAACCATTATTTATCGAACAAGAAAAATCTTATAAGTTACTGTGTCTGTTTTTATTGTTGTTTATATATCATGAATCATAAAATCGATATAATAAATATAATATCGATTAAATGTCATAGTTTAATGTAATTCTTTTAAAATTTCTTTTTATTTCTTTTTAAAATTTCGTTTTCGTGAAAAGGACATTGAAATATGTAGCATTTATTTCCTTTAATAGCTTCTAATAATGACTTCAAACTAAACAATGACAACTTATTTGTTTTAAATCTGCAAAGAAAAATCAATCCAATTAAAATTTAATAATAATAATAATAAAATTAAGTTCTATAAAAGACTAATAATTTATAATGTAATTAAGTCTTTATTAATAAATAAGAAATTAATTAGGTTTTGTAATTTTCATTATTTTATTAAAAATTAAATAGTACAGTAATTATTTGTTTTCATTTTACTATACATAAATAATCTTTTATACAATAAAAATATTAAATAGAATAAATAAGAGTAGATAATGTTTTTATTTATATATCCTAATTAATTTTCCATCATTTGCATAATGTGATTATCTGTCAATAAATTAAAAATATATAATATAATGTTCATTAAATCCATTTGCGCATTGAAAAATTGAAAAAAAAAATCCATAATAGTTGAATGTGTAAAGCAATATTATAACTTTATATTATATTCAATGTATATTATATGTAATAAAACTATAAATTTATAATATATATAGGCTAACAGATTAATCTTGTTATAAAGTATATTATATGAAGTAATTATAATTAATTAATTAAAATAATTCAAAGTATATCCAATAACTCACTTGGAAACAAGTTGGTATAGAGTTTTCTGAATGACGTTTTCTTTATTTTTTCGTCCTTGACGTGCCGATTGGCAAATAAATCTTTTTAAACAGTTGGAACGATCGAAATCTGGTGGTTCGTTTCGTTTATCGAGACGAAATGCGGGATTATTTCCTAAAAGAGAATGTCGCCTTTGTCTGTCTAAAACTACATCCTGTCCCGCTTTAGCAGGTTCGGAAGCGGTAGAAATTCTCTTCATTGGGATTACTATAAAATTAGGCATTAAAGAGGCCAAAAGTAAAGCAGCCGGAAATAGACCAAGGAGTATAGTTAGCGATTCGTCTTCTTGAAACTTCTTTCTTATAATTGAAAACGTATTTTTCATCGAATCGTATTTTTCTTTTAGAATGTTTTCGTAAGGTTTAAAATTGCCATTATTATATACATAGCCTCCATTTTCGTAAAAAGTATTCGTTGGTAAATTATTTACCGTAGCGGGATAACCCATTGCCTTGAGATCGAAACTGTTTTCTACATTCTGTTCGTGATTCGTATGTGTTATGGGATCAAAATTGCTACTTGGAAACATGTGAGATTCGTAAGAGAATCTATTAAACGAAGGCGATTTCCAAGGACGAAATGGATATTTTAAATTTTGAAACTGTGTCGGATGTGAATTTTTCATAGTTCCTTTATTATTGAATTGAATATTATGTAAAGAACCATTTCCTGCATCTCTTTTGATCGTTTCTGTTTCTATTCGATCTATCCAAATGCAAAATAAAATAGTAATAAGCTTAAAAAACATTTCGCCTGTTCCTAAAAGTAAAATAAACATTTTAATAATATAAAAGCAAATATAAATTTAAAAAATGAATTGTCAAATTATTTTCACAACCGAGCCAATTTTACTCGAAATTATACTTACCGAAATGATCCCGATTTTACAGACGTACAGAGTAAGATAGTCGCTGTCTTTATATTCTCATTGATCACGGTCGAATGATATCAATTATATATTGTTTCATATCGACGAGAAAAATCATCCACGCTTAGATCCTTCTTTTAAAATCTGTTAATGAAACTTGTTATAAATTGAATCAAATGAATTAAATGCGTTACACTATCCAGAAACTTTTTTTTGCTACAATTATTCATCTATGAGTAATTATAGTAAATTTTTCAGAATATTTAAACATGGAAGAAAACTATTTAAGCTTATTAGCTACAAAAATGGTTTCATATTTTTTTATTTAGAATGATACAAAAAGCACAAAATAGAAAGAAACAATAGTGGACCTACTGAGAAAGATTCTTTTTATGCATGACCCTTTGTATAGTGAAAATCTAGATCAAAATATTATTCGTTTATATAGGTCAAATAATAAATTTTACCGAGCTAAACGGATAAATAAACTTAAAAATTATTTTACGGCAAGATAAAATTCTTATTTATTTAAATAATTTTATTGTAATGTTAATTAACAGTTTAACTGAAATTCGAGGATATTTACTAGAGTAGATTATTAGAAGAGTTTGATTTATGAGTCTATTTTAATCACTATTACAGAAAATGTCGTCTATAACATTAATCGTATGAATAACTAGATTATTATTAAAATGACATTGTTTACGTAAGGATTTTATGATCAAGTAAACGAAGAATTCTTATAAAACTGAATGTAGATAAAATTTATATGAATCTTTCAAGAGTATCATGAAAGGTAAGTTATGAATAACCAATACATGTTTAGAATAATTAAGAAAATTTATAAATGAGATAAGTTTTTAAATGCAAGTCATTCAATAGGGAGGGACCCAGAAGAATGTTTTTGAGAGATTACTCTTTTAAAAACTTTATATAGCCTACATACAAAGATTATTATTATTATATTTATAATTAATAATTTTCATACGTATTAATTTTTACGTATATCATTTATACAACTGTAGTACTGTTTTAGAGCTCCGAGCGAATCGTTAGTTTGGCGGATAGTTTTTAAATTATGTTCATAGAGCTGGCTATGATAAACGTTATTTCGGTGCCCCGTCATTCGTCATCCTGGATAAATTCCTGAATTGCTTCACCATATCACCACATACAGTTAATTTGAAAATACAATATTCAGCATAAACGTATTAGGCCTACATAGAGCAAAAATAAAGATACCAGGGGATGCAGAAGAGGGAAAACTAATAAAATAAATATTATTTTGAATGCGTATGTTTGTGTAGAATTATACAGTATTAGTATGCCAGAAATCTTTCCTGTGAGAAATGTCATCATATTTTAAGTAGACTAAATTTATTAATAATGCCAAAAAACGTTATTATAGTTGACAACTTGTATGTTATTAATTAAAAAATAGACAATTAAGTCTCCTAATTAAGTGTAGTGTATTAAAGACAAATACGATGATGATTTTCCGACAAGTCTGTTAAAATTTTTAAATTAGGCCTGTATAAAATTTCTCAGAACAAATTTATTTTATTGTAAAATAATAAATACATATAACGAAAATCTTAAAAATATATGTTATACAGTAATACCTCGATTTACGCTACCCCGACTTATGCGAACCCGGAGTTACGCGATTTTCAAATCTCGTCGATTCGTCTTTTGTTTGAGCGCCACGCAACCTTTGATTACTCACTCCCCCCACACTATTGTTCGGCTTACATGTTCGGACGCGTCGCGCGGAATCGACACATAGCTACAATTTATTTTGTGTTATTTATTTCTGTGTTTGTTATATCTACGGAGACTCGAAAGACTCTACTATGTCATCCAAACGAAATAGAACTAATTCTTCTGCATCAAACAAGAAAAAATAAACTTTATCTTTGGAATGTAAAGTTAACATTGAGTATGTTCGTAAAGTCGAACGAGTTAAACGAGAATGACGTCATCGTTATTCCTATTTCGTTAGACTTTTCGAACGATTCGTTACTAACGCGTTTAACTCGTTTGACTTTACGAACGTACCCATTATTAAAGACTTCGATACAAAAATGAAAATTTGTGAATTGGCAAAGAAGTTTGATCTACCGGAATTGTCGGTCAGAACAATTATAAAAGGCAAAGAAAAAATTCTCGAAGCTGTGAAAAATGCTCAATCTTTAAATTCAAGCATCATTCGTAAACGTCACAGTATTATCGCTGAGATGGAAACAATGTTAAAATTATGGCGTAATAATCAAGTAAATGCGAAAAATTGTAAAATAACATAGGCATAATTTGTTATACATATGTATTATCTAAGATTTTATTAAACATTTTTTTCTAAATTATTGTTTTCTTTAGTCTCCGGCCCCAATTAAAAATTATTTGTATGTATTTATATGCGAAATTACACCCCGACTTACGCGGTTACCGCTCGGTCCCACCTATCGCGTAAGTTCGGGGTATTACTGTATATTATTACAACGTTTTTATTTACTGTATTTCCCAGAAAATAAGAATGGAGCCGATGTGTATCTGGTTTTTAAAATTTACCGATGTAACTTATTATATTTTTTAAGCATTATAAAAACAAAAATAAATCTCAGAATTATTTTTCATATTTCAATTTTTTAAAGTAAAAAACATTGATTTTCGGATACTTTTAAAATATAAATTTAAATCGCACTCAATAGAGAGATAATTGCTGATAAACGTTTTCGCTGTAAGTAATGTAACAGAAAATTTGCGAAATAAAACTTTTTATGAAATATGAGATATATTCTCATCATATTTCTCAAATGTTTCATTCAAATTTCAAAACATAAATATAAAATTTGTTTTTAGAGAACTTAACATGACTTATTTTTATACTATATATTACAGTATTACCATGTACATGATAATTTGAATATATCGAAGGACATTATACAAGAATGAATGTTCATTTTTCGATATTACATCACCATTTGCATCTGTTACGGTATTTATTATTCCAAGAGTATACGTCTTCTTTATTTTCCGCCTTGTGAGCATTAACGAGTGGACCTTTTTCTATTCTCATCGCCAGTTTGGCCAGGTCCTAGGATGGGACGTCGAGTGTCTTTATGTTATGGTCTTACGCTACAACATACAAGGGGGCCCTTCCTCATTCGCCAAACAATAATAAGAAACTATCTGAAAATATAACGAGACCTCTCGTAACGCGAGATCCCAAGCTTATTTAGCTTATGGTTAAATCCGGTTCTGTATAGAACGTAGCCTATCCAAGATATTGGGTCCACTCTCGTAGAATACTCTTCAGATATTAGACAAGTCTACAGACGGGAAGGTTCCAGCTTAGAAAAGTAAGTGATTTCGTTTATTTACTATTAATTATTCCAAACGTTCTATCAAAAATGCCACCGTTTTTCATTTGAAGAATTAGCAGTTATCGTTTAATGAAGTCACTATAAATCTGAGAGGTTCTAATACGCGGCCTTCGGTGCTTTGGTAATGTATTTTCCCCCGTTTTTCTGCCCCGATCTATTACTAAACACTAATTAAACTGATATTCGTGACAAAAAACATTAAAACTAAATTTGACTTTCAAAAAGACGAGAATAAACTATGTACAGGTAACCCCTGTATAACACGGGAGTTACGTTCCAAAAAATTGCTGTGTTATGCGAATCCGTGTTATACGAAACAAAGAACTAGTGCGAAAAGGGGGGTTAGGTTCCAAAAATTAAAAAACATGCTGTTAAATCCTTATTCAAATCGGATTTACTATTCATTTTTTTCATAAGTAAAATACTTAATTATTATTTACGTAAATATTTTACCAGAGGATTATTCATCCTATATGATGATCTCAGCATGAGCATCATCAACTGACAAGTTTTTGGGTGCATTCGTTAATAGCAGTCGCTCTGCAACGGGAGTGCGCTGTTGTTTGTAGGCATTTAGGAACGATGGAGGAATCTATAATTCTAAAATGAGCTTTTAGAGGCAAAAGGGTTCCAATTGTAAAATGTAACCATTAAATGGATTATTGTTGAAAGAGCATTCAAAGTAGCCAGGAAAACAATTAGAATGCTCGCGCGGAGTTACGCGGAAGTATAAAATAACGCACCCTTTATTACATTTCATGTTGTACGAGGGTTTTACCCAATTTTCGAACCGTGCTAGAGCGAATCCGTGCTATAGAAGTGCCGTGTTATACCGGGGTTACTTGTATTACTCGTTTTCATTAGCTTATAGCATTTTAATAGCTAGTACGCTGACGGTTAACGTTGGTAAACAACAGCTTAATTTAAAGCACGTAACTCCGTAGGAAAAAAAATCTAGCAGAGAGTTGCTTAACTTTCCCGGTAACGTTTAAAACTGCATATGGCACCATCTGTTATGATATTCTATTTAATTAAAAATAAACTTATGTTTTTAATTAGGCTATTATAAAATAACAAAAAGCTTAATTTTCAGGGTAGGGATGGGTTTTCTAAAAAATTGTGAAATCATTGTAATGGCATCAATCTCTTAATGCACAATCCTCCCTGCAAAATTTCAGAAATTTTCGACAAAAGAATAAGAGTTATTAAGCTTCAAAGAAGGCGAAATCGTGTCCCCCACAAACATCCATACATAACCCCATCTTTAGCATTTCTCGATGTTTCAAGGTTCCGAGTCCAAAAATGTAAAGATCTTGGGGTTATTATTCGTCCGATCGCCGTATGCATTTTTATTTTCTCTCAGATAAAGGGGGTGGGTGGCCATGTCATATCTGAAGTAGGGTCGGACTTAATGACGATTTTACTCGTTATCATCATTTATAATTTTTTTTTTATAAAACCCACCTCTGCCCTCAAAATTAAGCTTTTTGCCATTTTATAGTAATTAAAAGTATAAAAAGATTTTTAATAAAATATTGTAACAGGTGACGCCACACAGTTTTAAATGTTGCCGGGAAAGTCAAGCAATTCGTTGATTTTTTAAACCTAGTTTCCGATGTATGAATATTAAGAATTTACATATTTTGATAATATACTTGAATGTACGGTACAGTACATATAGAGGTTTGAAACTTCTATATACACCGTATAATTCATTTTTAATTTTTCCGGGAAATTTTTTAAAATCAAACTGCAAAGTTTAGAGTATCTTATTATACAAGTCCAATACTTTAAAACATTAATTTAGTTAACGGAGTTATTGTAAATAGTTAAAATAGTTTTTCTAAGAAATTTAATTAAAACAAAAATTAAATACAACTAGATTCACTTTGGTTTCGATAATACCATACAAATTATAATTTAATGTAATCGTAGCCTTTACTAGTGTATATTAAATAATCAATTTTTTTATACAAAAACATGCTGTGCTGCATCAGGTATTAAAATAATGGAATGAGAAAAATTCATGTATAATTGATTTTATTCAATTTGTTTAAAAACGATTTTTCTTCTAACAATAATTTTTGGAAAATTTTATTCAAGTAGTTTATAAATTCGAATTATTTAAATCATATAGAAAGAATATAACGTTATTTACAGAATCATTTTAGCTATAATTATCAAATTAGAAAAATCAATGAAAATTCTGACATAATTTATAAAAAACACTTCTTGTAGTTTCTTTTCTATATAAAAATTTAAAGTCAAATTAATCATATGTTAAAGGATACAGACAATTTCTCATAAGGAAAAAAAAAATATATATATATATAT